GCAGCGAGCGCAAGCCTTCATAAAGGACAAAGACGGATTGTTGATTATCGCAGAAAGAAGGTTATCCCGGCGAAGGGAAGAAGCAGACGAAGCTTTAGACCGCTGTTTTGAGACACGGTTAGTCGACATGATGGCACATGATGATGGAAGGAAGAAAACGCACGACACTCAAGCCGGCCTGTTTCGATGGCCTTGAGGACAAGACCAACAGAGGAGGGGCATAATGTTACGAACGACACTGCACAAGACACGGGACGGGACCGCACCGGCTAGGACAGGCACGACCCGTGGGCACAAGAAGAAGGCAGGGGCACGTGACCAGCCACGTGACCCAAGAGGCGATCGAAGAGGTCGATGTTCGAACACATCGACCAGGGAGGATCGAACCGACCGAACCTCGAGCCAGTCGATCAAGGTTCGAAGGGATCGATGGTCGAGCCAATCGATCCAGGACTACAATAGAGAGATAGACGAGTACTTAAGGAGGAAGTATTCCCATAGTCAGATAGTCTAGTTCTCTATTGATCAATCTAAGCAATAGTTTTACTATTGAGAGTTATACTCTTAACGGCCTTATTGTGATACTGCTCAAAAGCTACTCTGTAGCATTCAACCTGACTTACTTCCTAAGAAACAGACCTACTGTGCCTTAGAACCTAAGCCACCGTTACAGCCTATTATAGTTTAAATAAGGTGCTCTTCGTAGGCCGCTCTTAGCTTTGTAACCGTATTCTAGTAAATCCCATTAAAGTTAGCCGGTTCTTTAATTAACTCGTGAATTACTTGCTTATAACTAGGGTATCCTTAATATAACATCGTGTTTTAAGATCACTATAATATCTAGTGTAACTTAGTGTTTCGTGCCTTATATATTAATAAGAAGCTACGTAATCTTTATATTAACTACTTTATAGCTATACTTTACCGTAGTTCCTTTTATAGTTGTAAGTTAGTAAGACTTATCTTTAAGTATTTAAGGTAATTGTAATTTATTAATGAGATTTAACGAGATAAAATTTCCTTATACTCTACTATTAATTATTGCCTAGATCTTTCTTCCTATTATAGTTATATTAACTATAAGGTGTGTAATACTATTAATGTTTATAATATATAAAGACCTATTAGATCTCTGTTAAGGAATCGGTCTTAATTATAATAATAGCTATCGTTTTTTAATTTATTGTTTCTCTTCTCTTATTATTATTTAGCGCGTATCTTTAAGCGCTGTTATTAGCGATTATCTTCCGGTGTCTTGTTAGAGCTTTCTTGGTAATTACTTAATCTACTATCTGTGTTAATCGAACTTAGATTAAGTGAGTTACTCGTAGTCACATAGTTCCCTTCCTCCTTATATTATAGGGTTATAGCTTAGGTAGTGTGTGCGTTATCCTTAGTATAGTATAACTCCCCGTTTAATATCTTTAAATTAGTTTATTATAATTTCGGTTATATTATAAGGGTTATTCTCCTTCCCTTTTATTCTTATAGAAACTCTCTGTTACCTTGCTTACTATTAAGGTGCGTGTAACAATTATCATTATAATAGAAGGTCTAATTAAGAAGTCTATATTTAATTTTAGGTTTATCTTTCTTAAGCTATTTAACCTTCTTACACTTTACACGTTTTAACTCTTTAACGTTATTAATACTACGCGTAACCGCACGTATTATTTTCTTAAATTATAATTTCTTTTATTTTTAAAGACAGAGAACCTTCTCTTTCGCCTCTTTTAGCTTACGCTTTAACTTAATATATTAAGACGTAATATTTCGCAATTAAGTAGGAGACACTTCCTAAACGTTATACCGTAATAAGTTTAAACGAACACACTTCGTATATTAAGAGAAGTTAGAAGGAGAAACTTAATATTTAAGGATACTATAGCTCTTATAAGCGGAATAGGACGGTATGGTTAGAAGAAAAGGACTTACAAGAATAGCCGCTAGAAGATCGTTGTAATAAAGGACTAATGCCTTAAAAGCCTTTAACTTTTACTTAATAACACGATTAGCGGGTATAATAGCATATAATAATAGAAGAAGGAAGTTACCCTAGGACCTTAAATAGCCTACTTTAATGGCCTTAAGGATAAGACAAAGAAAGAAGTCGGCTTCCAATGGAACGAACCAGAAGCCACGGCATTCCAGAAAATGAAAGATTTAGTTACGTCAGAACCTGTGTTGAAAGCACCTGATCAGGACAAACCTTATGAGCTTGAAACGGACGCCTCAGACTTTGCACTAGGCGGACAGCTTGGACAACGAGATGATCAAGGAAGATTGCACCCAGTTGCATTCTTCTCGAAGAAACTCCACGGACCCGAACTCAATTATGGGATCCACGACAAAGAACTCATGGCTATCATTGAGTGCTTCAAAGAATGGAGACACTATCTCATAGGAGCAAAGCATCAAATCAAGGTAATTAAGTAAGAGACACTCCCTAAACGTTACATTATAATAAGTTTAAACGAATACACTTCGTATATTAAGAGGAGTTAGAAGAAGAAACTTAATATTTAAGAATACTATAGCCCTTATAAGCGGAATAAAATAGTATAGTTAAAAGAAAAGGACTCGTAAGAATAGCCGTTAAAAGGTTATTATAATAAAGAATTAATGCCTTAAAAGCCTTTAACTTTTACTTAACGACACGATTAGCGGGTATAATAGCACATAATAATAGAAGAAGAAAGTTACCTTAGAACCTTAAATAGCTTACTTTAATAGCCTTAAGAATAAGACTAATAGGAGAGGGGTATAATATTATAAACGTTACTAAACGCGGGAAGGACTAGGCTATACTAGGGAAGGTAAAGCTATAATAGGGGAGAACTAAAACGTTACGTGCTAGGTCACGTAATTATAAAGTAATTAATAGATTACCTATTAATTACTATAAGCTAAGTAATTGTTAGATTACTTATTAATCGCTATAAGTTACTAAGAAACGCATTTTAATTAATCTTTTAAGCACCGCTTAATAACTTAATATTAAACTTAGTATTTAAGGAATAAATTAAAGTAGGATTTAAATTCTTAGAAGGAGTGGGAAGGACCTCTATAATCTTTTAAAGCCGTTTCGCTTTCTTACGCTTTATATGTTTTAACTCTTTAACGTTATTAATACCACGTGTAACTACACGTATTATTTTCTTAAACTATAATTTCTTTTATTTTTAAAGATAAAGAACCTTCTCTTTCGCCTCTTTTAACTTACGCTTTAACTTAATATATTAAGACGTAATATTTCGTAATTAAGTAAGAGACACTCCCTAAACGTTACATTATAATAAGTTTAAACGAATACACTTCGTATATTAAGAGGAGTTAGAAGAAGAAACTTAATATTTAAGAATACTATAGCCCTTATAAGCGGAATAAAATAGTATAGTTAAAAGAAAAGGACTCGTAAGAATAGCCGTTAAAAGGTTATTATAATAAAGAATTAATGCCTTAAAAGCCTTTAACTTTTACTTAACGACACGATTAGCGGGTATAATAGCACATAATAATAGAAGAAGAAAGTTACCTTAGAACCTTAAATAGCTTACTTTAATAGCCTTAAGAATAAGACTAATAGGAGAGGGGTATAATATTATAAACGTTACTAAACGCGGGAAGGATTAGGCCGTACTAGGGAAGGCAAAGCTATAATAGGGGAGAACCAAGATGTCACGTGCTAAGTCACGTAATTATAAAGTAATTAATAGATCACCTATTAATTACTATAAGCTAAGTAATTGTTAGATTACTTATTAATCGCTATAAGTTAAGGATTAATAGATAGACAAATAATTAGAGTAATTATAAGTCTATAATAGAGAGATAAATAAGTACTTAAGGAGGGGGTATTCCGCCGTAATAGATAGTCTAGTTCTCTATTAATTAATCTAAGTAATAGTCTTACTATTAAGAGTTATACTCTTAACGGCCTTATTATAATACTACTTAAAAAGCTACTCTATAGCATTCAACCTAACTTACTTTCTAAGAAACAGACCTACTGTGCCTTAGAACCTAAGCCACCGTTACAAACGATTAAATTAAAGGAGAATAAGCCTACTATTATAAAAGTATCCCTAAATATTATTAATACTAATATTACCCGCGTTCTATACGTTCTCTTTATTAATAGCCTATATAATATAGTTGTATTAACGTATTATTATAACGTAATATAGCTATTAGCTCCTTAAGTAAAAAGTTAAATACTATTTATTATTAAGATAATAAGAGATATAAATGTTATTATATTAAAGATACTATAAATGTTATAGGAGTTTAAACGTAATAAGAACTTTATTATAATGCTATACTAAATTTAAGGGATAATATCGTGTAGACTTCTTCGCATATAATTACTAAGAAGAACCCCTCTCTTAGATATTAAAATATTACTTAAAGTAAAAAAGAGGTAATATTAAGTTTAAAGAGCTAATATACTAACGGTAATTATATAAAGCGTATAAATACTCTTTAAGTCTAAACTATTTAAGAGCTCTTAATTATAATTAAGGACTTAATTATAAAGCTTATAGTGGTAGATAAAGAGCTAAGGTGGTGCCTCCACGCGACAAATCTAGGACACCACCAATGCGAGTCAATGCGATAATATTGCACAGCACCTTGAACCACATCGCACAAGTACCCAACTTAATAGCTTCCGCTCTAGAGGCTTACTTTTTACATGGCAATCTGCAGCTTGTTTCTTTCCCTGCACAAGTCTACTATTATACTTCGCCTCTATGCCGATTCCCAGCCACATGTCACAAGCATATCCCCGTAACTTCCACGTACTTGGAAGCGTATGTGTTGATGACACGGCTTGAAACTATGGTGAAATGAAAATTTCTACATAGTGTTATCTCCACAATACCCTATCACGAAAAGAAGAAGAGTGCCTGAAGGTACGTATCTGCATATATACCTCGACTTGCGCCGGATAAGCCTATACGATGGGACATAGTGTCAACGGAACATAGGGGACCAATTGCTTCACAATTAGAGCATGTGCCCTTTGTGACATATAGCTCCTTGGCTCACAAAAAACAAGAGAATTCTCCCATACCATCCCGCTCCCTTGGAGTAGACCTTCTCACGCCTTGTATTCACCCTTTTCACCCTCCAAACCCAACCGCTTCCTATTCCGCCGCCTGATGTAACCAAAGCCATATAGCGCAGGCCTGAAGCTGTGATAGTCTTTATTGTACTGAGCAAGGCAACTCCCACTCGCACGCAACCTTGCAACACTCTGCATAGGACATGCCGACGCACTCTGCCTTTGGAAAACCAGCCACTCGCCACCAAGCACCGGGCACATAATCTTTGAAGCAGGCATATAAGCCCGCTATGCAAAAGTAGAACAGTAATAACCAGTTTATTAATGACCCTCAAGACAGGGCCAGCTCTCATCATACAAAGCAGGCATCTATAACAATAATACATGGCGTCTCATCTATGACATGCCTACACATCACCCTCCCAATCGACCCTCTCGACGCCCTTCCTCCTATAATATACCCTTTTCGCCCATTTCCAGCCCTCATTCCCAGCCATGTAGACCCCGACCGCAATAAACACCACGGCCCACTCCCACGAAATTCCTTTGTGCATAAACACCACGTCATTGATAACCGGGATGTACAGTGTAGGAAAGACCATGACAAAAACAAGCGTCACGGAAAAGAATAAAAACTTGTTACTCCAGAAATGCGCCAGCCATGCCTTGAGCCCATACGGCATGTCGAACAAAGATCGACGAAAGTCAATGAGCTCCCACGCGAAGAGGAGAAAGATCCACGTCATGGTGGTGTAACTCGTTGCGCGTGCGCGGAAGACAGCTTCACAGGAAGAAGAGTATTTGTTGTTGCAGTCGGTGCCGAGGTTGCCGCTGTCGAAGCCGAACACCACGACGGTGAAAGAGCCGATTGTGCAGCAGGCCATGAGGGCGCCGTAGATGACCATGTCGAGGAGAAACTCGGGGGTGAAGACGCCGTATTTGAGCTACGCCAAGTTTAGCACAGGGATTAGTTTTTTTGCGTGCTTTTTCAAGGTGAGAAACTCACATTCTGAGGGGGGCGGTTGAGGATATCGGGAACCGCGCGTTCAAATCCCAGCCCGGTTTCACAGAAAGCACCAGTGGCCATGAGCATCCACAGAATCTCAACCGGCGTCAACAAAAAGACGGACACGTTCGAATCATCCTTGAAGGCCAACCCAGTGAGCAATGCAACCACAAAGCCAATATTCGCCGCCAACACATGCAATATGAACTTTTGGATGTTGTCAAAGATCCGGCGTCCTTCCTCAACGGCATTCAGGATCGACGCAAAGTTATCATCGGTCAGTACGATATCGGCGCTTTCTTTGGCCACGTCCGATCCCGTGCCCATGGCGATGCCAATATCTGCACGCTTCAAACTAGGACTGTCATTGACGCCGTCGCCTGTCATTGCAACGTAGCGGCCTCGTCTGTGGAGAGCTTCAATCATGCGAACCTTTGTGCTGGGAGCGCAGCGGGCAACGACAAGCGGAAGCTGCTGCAGATTATCGATTTGGCTGTCTGACAGGGCGTCGAATTCCTGGGCTGTCATCATGAGAGTGCGAGATATGTCGGCAGGGAGCATGCGAATCTTGTCTTCGGACGGAAGGATATTGACTTCCATGGCAATGGCGCGAGCTGTTTGCGGGTGATCGCCTGTAAGCATATGCACCATGATGCCGGCTCTTTGACAAGCCTTGACGCTGGGCAGAGATTCGCTTCGCGGAGGATCATATATGCCAATGAGGCCGCGGAAAATGAGATTCTGCTCGAACTCGCGGCGGTCTGGGGAGCTGCAGTGTGCAAATTCGGAATCAGAAACGTCGCGGTCCAAGGGCTTATGGGCTAATGCGAGAACACGAAGACCTTGCCCGGCCAGGGAGACCATGTTGTCAAGAATATTGGATTTGATAGTTTCTGTAAGTGGTTCGACGGCATCGTTGAGTGAAATGCGGTCACAAATTTCGAGGACTCGCTCAACAGCTCCCTGATTGATGGGTCAGCAGATTCTCCTTGGATGGCCAATGGCATCCATATCTGACCTTTGTAAAGACATGTGTCTGCTGCGACTGACAGCTACGAAACAGGACTGACATCTTCTTCACATCTGAATCAAACGGAAACTCGGCCATATGCTGCCACTTCTTTTTTTCTCCTTCGGATAACTGAACGCGGCTCCGCCCAAAGCGTGAGGCAAATACTTCAATGGCAATCTCAGTCGGGGCGCCACGAGCCTTCCACTCCCCAGGTCCTTCGGCGGTATCCTCCATCTTCTCCAAAGTGGCTAGGTTTGCCAAGGAGGCAGTGTTTAGATACGATTGAAGTGCTATATTGTTGCGAACGTCATCCTGAGGCGCGACGGGCTGTTCTGGATTTTGTTTGTTGTCTGTCTGGGGTATATCTTTGGGTTGTGAAGCAATGAAAGTAACTGCCCCAGCCGTCGGGTTATAAACTTCGTTTCCTGTGTCGACAGAATACGTACCGCAGCCAGGGATCCATGCTTTTCTTACAACCATGCCTCC